AAGGGTATGTTCTTTGATAAGGTCTGTCACTACCGATTTTGTCAGGCCAATAGAAGGGCCAGGTCCAAAAAGTATTTGGTTGGCTGCTTTCTTGGCTAATGAATCAGCAAGACGGTTTCCTTTCGATGTGGCGTGACCTTTGATCCATCTTAAGGTGACCACATTGTTGATGGATACTTTGGCCAAAGCTTCGTGACATTCTAGTACTAGCCCTGAGTAAATTCATGGTCTGTTCAGGGTGAGTAGTGCTTGTCTGCTATCTGTATAGATGAGCATGTTCCTTCCAGATATTGTTTCTGGTTATTTCTTTTGCTGCTATGAGAATACCCGTTAGCTCTCTTTGAACTACACTGGCACTATTGCTCACAGCTCATTTTATGTTTAGGTTTAAGAATCTGAAGTATGTTCCACATCCTGAGCCTTGTTTTCTTTTAGAACCGTCGGTGTAGATATGAATCGTACCTGCCACTTCCGGTTCTTCTATTTGTTCTATTATAACTGTATATGGCTTATGGAAGATATATCTCGGAGAGATGGAGTCCATGTTAGCTTGAAGCAGTGGGAGCGTATCGAGTGCCTCCTGCCAGAAGTGACGTCTCGCCTCACCAGATCCTACATCAGGTTCTATTTCAACCGTGCGGAGGCATGTCATTGTCGACAGAGCAACCTCCTTGATGTAAATATCAGAATGAGAATGACTTCCATGGCCCTTTTCGGTGTTGTTTTCATGGCTCCTGTTATGTTGAGACATGCTGTTCTTTGAATTTGTTCTAGTTTACGGATAGCTGTTAATTTTTGGGTTTTTCGGTACCCAGACAACTGCACCGTATGTTAGTATAGGTCTTATGATGGCAAGTATAGCTGCTGCATCTGTTTTGTGGTTAACACATCTACAGTTATTCTTCCCCTGTTTAATAGATTGACGTTGCAGTGTGAAAAATCAGTTGTTATATCAGATTAACCTTTCTTTTTCAGTCCTGTACTTTAGTACTTCCTCGCACAAGCTTTAGTTCTCTTGGTTTTGTTTTGACAGATTTTATGGATTCTAACTGTGAACTTTTCAATCATCAAGTTCGCTTTATTAATTTTGCGTTTTTGACTAACATTATTTATGGTTATGCTGGTCAACTGGTCTATTGGGTCTAGAGATCATATTATGTTATCCTCTTATTAGTTTTAAATAATATTTGTCATCTTATAAACAACTTTATCTCATTTAACTATTGTTCATTCTTCAAATTTCATAAAAAATTTAAATTTTATTTAATTTTTAATAAGTAAATGGTATAGTTCTCATCATCCACTATAATTGCTTTATTGTCAATAAAAAAAATCTGAGAGATCTACTACAACACCTTCGTTCACATGAATTTAGGCAATAAATCGTAGCCCAATTTCAATGTAATAAATCACATTTAAGAACTCTTCATCACCCAAACTAGCAACCAATTAAGCGGAATATTTATGGAGCGGTCAGAAAACAAAACAACCCCATAATCGTCCAAAGTTTATTCTACATGAACACTTTTAGTTTTAGAATCAGTTATCGCTTTCACTTTCAACGATCGAAACAGAGACAGGGAGGATGTTGGCTTGGGGTCAACACAAATGAAACTTTTGATCACGATTTACAACTTTAGTCATTTGTAGGTTTCGGAAAATTGGACGAGAGCGTTATGTCGGAATTGGGGTTGAAGTTCCGATGTTACAAAACTAGTAAACGATGTTTGAACAAGGCGTGAAAGTTACACAAATAAAACTTTGCGTTTGAAGTTGTAAAGATGCGAAATTTATTTTTTCTTCGATCACTATCCAAAGTAGGCCTTTGTTCTAAGTCATTAATTTTATCACATCACACGTACTCGGTAACGAGAAGAGAAAAAAAATATTTCTTTTCATACAATTTCTATTGATTTTTGTTAAGCCGTATTTAAAATAACAAATAACCACAGATGGTTTTAAACACGCTTTATTTATCGTCAATGCTTTAAGAGATATGCAATTCTATACCCTTAAAAAAAACGTTAACCAGAGCAGAAATGACTAAAACATTAAAGAATTATACAGAGTGGCCCAAAAGTCTGGAAACGGCCAATTACCTCGTAAATTGCTAGTCCTAATTGTACAAAATTTGGGGTGCACCTATTTTGGGATACGGAGATTTTATATTTGATATTTGCAATGTTGCCAGATTTTCCGGTTCTCTTATATTATTAGTCACTTTGGTTTTTCAAACTCATCCCCCTGTATATTAAGTCATTATTGGAATATCCTATTTAATACGAGTTCAACCATATGTAACACTTAAGATTTATGTAGTCTGGAAGGTCTTAAATAAATAAAACAGAAGTCTGGCAACGCCTAATTGTCTCAATAAATTCTTAATACAAACTATTTTCAACTACATTAAAACGTAACAATTGAAAGATTACACCATTTTTAACATAATGGTTACTTTATCAAGTGTTCAAAACGTGCTCCATTTGTGAGTTGACAGTACCCTAATCGATGATAGAATGCATTTACCACATTTCTCCATGATTGTTTTATTTATTTAAGACCTTCCAGACTACATAATATCATAAGTGTTATATATGGTTGAACTCGTATTAAATAGGAGATTCCAATAATGACTTAATATACAGGGTGATAAATTTGAAAAACCAAAGTGACTAATAATATAAGAGAAACGGTAAATCTGGCAACATTGCAAATATCAAATCTGTAATCCCTGTATCCTAAAATAGGTGTACCTCAATTTTTGTACAATTTGGACTAGCAGTTTACGAGATAATTGGGCGTTTCCAGACTTTTGGGCCACTCCGTATAACGATGTTTGGCGCCGGAGAGACTAGCAGCGAGCTTAGTGTGCATCCATTTACTTGCAACAGTTAAGCAGTGATTTCTCCGATCACGTCGTGGATGGGTGACCGCTGGGAGGTTCCACCATGGGCCGTGTCACCATAGGATTCATCCGACTAGCGTTTAACCATCGACGACGTGGAATGAATGAGGGTGTGAATGGGAAAGTTAGGACCTTCAAATGGTGGTACAATAATCCGCAGGCTGCAGTGCTGCCAGACTACAGACGCATTAGGGTGTAGCACGGGAGATCTGAAGGGTGTAAAACAAAAAAAACGATGTTTTCCTTGTATTATAATTAACCGTGTAACAAATTTAACCGAGAAAAAATCTCGGCAAATTTGTCAGAATGTACGAGCGCTCTATCCAAATTACGAGATTAACTGTTAATTCTACCATTCGGAAAATTAAGTACAAGCCAGGTTAATTCCTGAGGAGTACCTCTAAACATAATGTTGTTTTCATGTTACCAGAAAGTTAAGTACAGGTCAGGTTAATCCCTGAGGAGTACCTTTGAACTTAACGTTGTATTCATGTCACCAGAAAGTCAAGTATAGGTCAGGTTAATCCCTGAAGAGTACCTCTCAACTTCTCTACTGTTTTTATTTAGTAACAAAGTTAATTACAGGTCAGTTAAATATCTTAGGAGTGCCTCTGAACTTCCAATTAAAGCTTTTGCTTTTGTGAGTAAAAAAAAGTTAAGTATAGGAGAGTTAAATATTTGAAGAGGGGTACATCTGAACTTTAATTTAAAGCTTTTGTTTTTGTGATTAAAGAAATTAAGTATAGGTCAGCCAAATATCTGAGGAGGACCTCTGAACTTATTGCTTTTATTTTGTCTGCTTAGCACAAATTTAGTGAAATCTTTTGAAATACTAAATATATTATAATTGTTAGCCTAGTGCAAGCTTTATGTTTTATAAATATGGTCTGGTAAATGGTATGAGGAATCTGAGAATTCACAATCACAGAAAGAATTGGAAAGTTGTACTGTCTTGGATGGGCGGTATTAGCAAATAATTCTTTTGTTTTTGACTTTTTTATTTATGTTTTGTTTCCTAAATTATATATTAACTGCCCGAGGCCTACTAGATGACTTGTTTTTTAACCACGCGATGGCAAGTGGTAAGCATTTCGTGACAAGTAGAGTGAAAAATGCTGGACGGATATTGTTAAAATCCGAGGAGCATATCTTTTATTTTGAATGATTTAAAAAAAAAATATAAATCGAAAATACTGGACGGATATTGTTGATATCCGAAGAGCAGATTGTGTTTTAAATTATTTTAAAATCTTGAATAAAGTGTTAGAAATTATAATATATGGGGTGTTGCGTCACTTATTTGAAAATGCAAGGTTTTGCCTCATCTCAGAATGTGACGCGAGGATGAGCAGGAAACTTTTTCGAAATAATTGGTGTGAGAATATTTCGAGAGCGAAATATAGATCAGTAACGCCGTGTTAGCAGATAAACAAATTTTGTTAATTGTAGTACGGTAAAGAACATCGGCAGTCAAGAGCGGGGAGTGCGGGGAACTTAGGCGGTAGTAGCGGACCGTCGTCAGCGCTCCTCCAGGCAGAACGATTTGAGTCGCATTGTGTTCTATCTGTAATCCCTGGTAACTAAATAATTATTTGACTTAATAATTAATAAAATCTAACATATATGTATATTTCTTAAAATAATGTGATCGTAAAACAATATTTTCTGTCTCATTTTGAGCAGTGTATATTTTTTTATCCAGCTGTTCCGGTTTTGTGAACAATACTTCTCAATAAATTAATTTTAATTTCCTGTTTTGGACAGGTGTCTGGAGTTCTAATCAATGAAAATATATCATCGTCAGATCCAATTTAAATTTGTTGCTTTACCTTTTTGTAGCGCATCATTATTGATCATTTTTATGCTTTAGATAAATTACAATGAGAAAACTCATACCGTTAATAATGATTCTGTTGTGGTAAAAAAATATCTATTTAAAAACGATGGAAAACATAAGAAAAATGTATATTCTTTAAAACGGTAAAAATGTTTGTGTATTTATTAGCTAATATATAAATAATTCAAGTGAACAAGAACAAAAGAAGAATATAAACCATCTACACTCACCATTCAACTGTAAAAATTTACTAAATATTTACACATATAACGTATTTCCAAAAATAGGAGCAATACTAAATTTTAAATATTTCTTAGCATCATAATGCTCGAAGACGATAAAATCATTACTACCAATCCTCAATAATGGTGCTGGTAGATATAAAGTCTGTTGTGGTCCAATAAAAAAATGTCGTCCCAAAACAAACCCATTTACAATAGTTATCCCTTTTGTCCAACCTTGCACATCAACAAAAGTATCTTCAGGTTCATCGTCAATTTCCAAAACGAACTTATACAGAGCAGGGGTAGCTTCAACAGTAGTTATTGGTTTCCAGTTGTTTGAATTTATGTTCCAGTTAATTTTGAATTCCAAAGGTACTATTTTCCAATTTCTAACTATGATATCGTTGATATAAACAGCATCTGTAAGTCCTTTGAACTGGTGAAATTGATTTAATAACCCGTGATTAATTCTGCCAAAATTTTCAACCACCAAATCCATTGTTGCATTTTGTATATCAGTGTCAATGGTTAAAGTAGAGTTTTCAAGTCTCCAGAAACCGAATCCATTTAGATCAGTAATATTTCTTGGTGTTTTTGATATCAGTTTTCCGTATACAGAAATTTTTAATATATCTCCGGTTGATAGATTGAGGTTAGTCTTCCTATAGACCACATATCCATAACTTTGTCCTGAATTATTATTGATATTATATCGTCAGAAATAATTTTATCTTTATATGAATCTATAATATCGGATAATAATATCTGCCCAACAGGTTCCAAGTCTGGATAACGGACCGGCTGTTTGCTCTCAGGTCCTTTTGGAATTTTTGTTATTACTGTGTTGTGATTTTGGATTATGTCTTTGATAGCATAATATTTTTTTGTGTAAGCACCGTATTCTGTTATTGGGGCATCATAATCGTAACTGGTAGTGTCAAACTGTAAACCTGAGTTGTCTGTTCCATTTGTTTTGATATTTCCTCCATTCAGGAAACCAAAGCTAGTGCCACCTAAAAAAGCAACAATTATAACGGGTTAAGGTAAATTTTGGAGTAGAGGGATAGTTTGATAAAGAAAGAAACGAAAAATGGCAAACAAATTGAATTGAATATATTTTAAACTGCTGTATACATTTGCAAAAATCTATTAATACCTTCAAAAATACACTCTTCGATGTAAATAACTATTTATATATGCACGTGCCTGCTTTTAAAAATGGACCCAAACCCGGGGCAAGTATTTTGAATCGATCCAGCCGTTTTAATTTTCGATACCCATCGGGTCGTATTTTCGTTTCCAAGGTGGATAAATGAAATTTAAAATCAGTAAAGTGTGCATCAGCATCACGACCGTACAGGGTAAATTATACGTAAAAAAGGATGATTAATGACACCACTCGCCTGAAAACTTCTGTGCGTTGGTTTGAGCGCGACGAAATCTGGAATAAAAATAGTTGACGCTACAACACACTTAAAGGTTCAATATAGGTATGTTGTTATTTGCATATGCTGGTATTAATTGGTACAGAAGAGAGACTAAGGTCTCTAAGTAAATATGTGGGAAAAGTTGAAGGGGCCTTTGAGGGCTAAGTGATTAGAATGTACAGAAGCGATGAAACAACCAAAGATGGTCAATTGAAGAAGATTCAAGAATTTAAAAGAATAGAGGATCCAAATAAATAGATGAGTCAAAGAAATGGATGGCGTAGATTTAAATAAATGGAGAGCTGGGAAGGAACGGGGAAGTTGGTAAATTAAAAAATATATAGAAAGTGGCCACTTTTTAAGTGAAACATATTGTTTATTAAAACAGGAAAAAGTTGTATATTTTGAAGCCCAACGTAAATATTGGGGCCGATTTCCAAGATATTCGATAAAAATTAGTTAAAATTATGTTTCTTTATTTCACTATGATACGTTTATTTTTAAAAATATACAAGAATTTTTTTTAGCATAGGCACATTGCCATTCAGCCAGACACAGATTCTTCCATAATTAAAACGACCCAAGAATATTTTGTAACAGCAAGAGGTGTAAGAAGAAGAAAAAACCAATATATGACGGGGACACTCGCTTCTCGTCCAGGGACCCGTCAGGACTTTTTGTTTAATAGACAAACAAAATTAGGCCTCGGTAAGAGGGTAAACAAATAGGTATAATACAGAGGAAATAAGATTAAGATTCCAATCATAGACGAATCTTGGTGTCTAACAGAAATTGTGAGAGGCAATGGTTAATGTCATCAGAAAAATGTGTTAAAGCTGTTACAATATTTAAGGGGGATGGAATGTTATTTTTTATAAGATTCATATAAAGCATGTTTGGATGTACTACGTATTTTTTGCATTCGAAGAAAACGTGATTAATTTCTCCAGTTGTTTCACAAAAGTCATAATTTTCATATTCTTTTACATTAATTTTAAACAAGTGTTTGGGATAACTTGCATGACCAAATCTGGTTTTAATTAAAGATCTAATGTAATGTCTTGTAATTATATGATTTTTAAACCAGGGTGAGTTGGAATATGTCTTTGAATTTAAGTGTACTGATTCGAATAAGTTGAACAGAATTGTGACCAATCATGCCTCCATTTTCTCATATTGTTGGATTTTGTCAAGGCAACAATATCTGGGCTACAGATGTTATAAATGGTGTTAGTTCCTTTTTTTATTGCAGATTTTGCTAGTAGACAAAAATTTAATTACAGTTTTTTGTTAAATATTGATTGTACATATGTAGTTAATTTTTTATTCGACTTTTTGTAAATGCAGAACTATCATCAACTTCTTTGTTCTAATGTACTAGTGTTATTTCGACAGATGATTTTAATTCTCGGAACAGTTAAGCAGTGGGACGTTCCACCATGGGCCGTGTCATCATGGGACGTAATCGACTAGTGGTTAACCATTGACGACGGGGAATGAATAACAGTCAATTGGTGAATGGGGAAGTGGTAGGTACAATAAGCCGCAGGCTGCAGTGCCGCCAGGCTATAGACCAGCCATATTCAACCTGCGGCCCGCGGGCCGCATGCGGCCCTCCAAGCTTTTTTTGTGGCCCGCAATACTATTATTGGTCGCAACGCTAAATAGCATGCTAATTTTTAAATAAACGTTTGGAATTTTGTGGGGTTACTGCAAAAACAAGATTGCTCCATTTTTGGAATTTTCGAGTTAAGTAGGTACACTTTCTACAAGTGTGAAAGAAGTCTATATTCATGATAAACTAACTCCATGTTAATACATGATGGAGTGGCATTTCAAAACATAATCATAACATTGTGTTCAATTGATAAATGTGTCTACCAAAACCAGTTAATAGACATATAACTTATTTTTGCTAAATACATTTATTCACATTCTTAATAGTGTTTTTGCCAAAACAAGATGAAGGCCAGAACCGAGACAAAACCAATAAGGACAAAACGTACCTGTATTTCGGAAATCACTTAAAAAAAATTTAAGTAATTTATCACCTAAATCCACCTTAATTTTATACGATGATCTTTTTTCTCGCCATTTCGAGTTGTAAGCGACGAATTGATTTTGACCATGATTTTAGATGATGCTTTTGGAATTTTCGAAAAAATTTGTAGTGATTCCGGTGATTTTCAGTTAAAACGTACCAGTATTTCGGGAGTGGTTTGCCGCTATTTATTTTTGTTAAATGTGATTGTTGTGCCCACGCCATTTGTTTTGTTATGACTAGAACCGTCTCTGGCCTTTTTCGATTGTTCCGAAATCCACGAGATGATTACGTCACCCTTTCTTTCCGCAATACAGCTAACCTTAACCAAACACTAGATAATAACACCTGATATTCGAATCTCCGTGGTGAACGAGTGATTGGTCAAGATGTAACGAGTGATTGGTCAAGCTGTAATAAGTGATTCGTCAAGCCGTAACGAGCGAATCTTTATGAAAACTCGTAAATAAAAGTATTTATGGTAACTGGAGAATTTGAATTTCAACCATACTTTCTAATAGACAACGTATCGAAAGATTCAGCTATTCTAAATACATTCCACCAGAAAAATAGATTTAATTTATCAATGGGCGAGGGTGGGGAATTATATACCAAACTCGCACAGTATTTATGCATGAAAGGATGAAACAAAATTTTGAAAATACTTACAAAAAAGTGCAAGAAGAAAGATGATGAATTTCAACATTATCATTACAATCTACCTGTATCCAATAATGCTACTGAAACTTCGACTGTAGATAGTGACACAAACATTGAATTATGATTTGTATGTAGAGCTAAAATAAGCTAAGTGACGCTTTTTCTCTCTTTTTTACCAATTATTGATAGATTATTAGTTAATACTTTGTGAAGAATGTTTTTAATACCTTCTTCATTGAAGTTAATAAACGGTTTGAAGGTTTTACTGATTTTTTATTCAGTTTGTATAGTGTGTTATCGAAACTCTAAAAATGTGCTTTTGATGTTAGCTGTTTGTAAGACACCAGGTATACCACCAAGCTCATTTCTATAAGGACCATCAGCTGTATATAACAATTCAATAATACCGTTATCAAGCATTAATTTTTGAATTGTCTTTAAATATTCTTTATCGTTTTCGCCTATACTACCAAATTAATTTTCCACTTGGAATCCTATGATGGGACCTCCTTTTTGGAATTGCAACAGGGCTAAGATCGGCAGCAATACATTGAAATATCTGAAAGTAAAAAAGTAAACATATACTTTTACAAAATTGTAATAATTGGTACCTAAATTTTTTTAATTTTTTTTATGTCGCATTGCCAATAGTTTCATTTTTCATACCTTTTTACATAAGAAATGTAGTTTTGATCTTTAGAGCTTCTAACGTTTGGTATATTTCTCAATATCCAGCTTGGAAATCCACCAAATTCAAATTCGGCACAAATGTAAGGACCTGGTCTAACAAGAGCGAACAAATCCTCTTCTTGAGCCGTTTTTAAAAATTTGTTTAAGTCTAAAAAATCCTGCATATCCATACCATCATCTCCAAAATCATATTTTTCTAAAATAAAAATGACAATTAACGATTTTTGCTAAGAATTCTTTCATTTTATTTAAAAATTTGGGATCTATACTGAGTATGAGTCATTGAGTAAATGCGCATGCGCTAGGGTTAGATACGTGACCAGTGGCGGCTTGTGGTAATTTAAAATGGGTGTTCACTTTTTCCAATAATTTTATCATATGCAAGCTCGGATCAAAACTTTGTACAAGAATCAATATCGCTGTTTTTTTTATTATTTGAGTTTGTATTAAGTGTAGTTATTATTATAAACATCATACTGTTTTCAAGCACTACAACTATTAATAAATAAATATTTTAGTTGGTGTGATATTTGTTTTGTTTTTAATACGTTGAAAACTATCTATAAACATTATTAGTTAGTAAACTGTATTTTCTTCATAATTTGAGATTATTTTTAAATATATATCAGGTTATGTGTAAAATATTTTATATGTAACTTTACCTACCATTTTTTAGTTTTT